TATTTCTACTGATAATATTTCAACTCTTCTTTTAAATACTTTTTAGGTTGTTCTCTCCTATCCTTCGGGGCAGCAAAGGATAATTGTGGAGGGTGAAGTTGCCAATGTTGTCAAATATTTAAGAATTTCATGATGAAGTTCAAAGGTGCAGTGATATGCTGACAAAAGAATTGAGAGAAGCTGCATATTTGCCAAACCTCCATCCATGGCTGACTTTCAGGCTTACACTGAAAGGCAAAAGAACGACCAACCCTCAGCAGCCCCTACCACTTGTACTTCTTCGTCTTCATCACTGATGACATTCGATGCCACTTCCATAAATCCTGCATGCAATGCAGACACCAATACAGTTGTTGAAAACATCTCCTCCAAGGTTTTGGCAAGTCGTATCACTAAGGATGGCCTTGTAGCATCTGTGAATAGTGAGCAAAATAGTTCCATACCAACTGTGAATGCTGGCTATCAGTTTGTTGGAGACAATTGTGATCTTCACGTTAATGTACGCCACATAGCCACAGACAATAAGAACAAGTCTTTCCATTGGTTTAATTCTGTGGTATTTCAGGATCAAGTCAGTGGAAATCACCTTCCTGACAAGCATGAAGTTACTCTTGAAGAGGTCCCAGTCAGTTCGTTTTTTCCAAGTAACGAGGACACACAAGAACTAAAATGGGACTTCATGGTATTGTGGTCATGAGTCATTGTGAAGTACATGCCGTCCTTTGCCTTTTTGAAGAAAAGTATCATTTATCGCATACCACATCAATACAGTGAAGTTATGGAGTTACCAGTACCAGAGGTGAGTTTTAGTGATTATTTTGTAGTTGGAACAATATAATAAAATAAACATGTTATGTTTATTTTATTATGAAAAATAAATTGCAACAGTGCATGATTTGAACACACTTTGAAAGTCCCCTAAGTACTTGAAATTATAGGCTCGCTCTCATGTCTGACTATAACAGCAGAGGAAAAGTTTGATCGTTGCTGAAAAATTAAAACAAGACATGGGTCTCTGCTTCTGTGAGAGGCCCACTGCTTACTGTAAGTTTGTACCTGGCAATTATGTTGGCTTAATTTTGTACCCAGTTTTATTACTTTGAAACTGAAAAATCCCTCAAAACTAAAAAACAAAGTGTCGTGATAGTTATGTTTATTACCATTTTTTGGAACTTATCAGAGTCTTATTACTCTAAGCGCCCTTGATTTCTTGCATTATTTCCCTTCCCTGAGTGTGCTTTGTTATTAGTCTTACTCTCAGTAAGAGATGGGAAATTAGCAGAAAAATTGACTATAACTAACAAGTTTATAAACATTTTAGGCTAAAAAATGGGGTCGGTAGGCAACACACGACTTTTACCTCATGTTAAAATGCTGCTTGTTTCAATATTTTTTTCTTTTTCTCTGACACGTATGTTCCAATGACAAAAAAGGTCAACAAAAGTGGTGAAGCAGAGAAAGTTCCCCACAGCACAGTAATTTTTGGTGGTGACCAGCTGACAGAAGAGAGAGCAAGAAATGTGCAGCTTGCTAGGAGTGACAGTGCAGATACATTGGAAAGGCTAAAGGCCCGAGAATGAAGAATGGCATGCAACTAGGATTGCATGTAAGGTAAGTGTTACTTAAACGTCATAAGAAAAAATAAACTGAAGCTTACATAAAGTTAGTGTAAATGATTGCCGATTTCATCTATATACCGAAACTAACTGTGCAATTACACTCATTTTAGGCAACCTGCCAATGAACAGCTGACTTTTAGATATTTCGAGCAACAACAATTTTCCATCTGTCCTCTTAAATTAAGTGTTGACAAACAACTGAAGCTCCTGTTTTAGGTGTTTGGAAAACATGAAAATCAGTGCATTTAGTGTAAATTAAAAACTAGGCAAAGCGAAATGTTTTAATCCCTCAACCTTTCCTCACTCTCAGGTTGTCATGGACATGCTTCAGAAGGGAAACTCTCTGGTGGACTAGGTTACTTTTGCGTCAAATGCTATTATAACTGGCAACACCAATGCTCTTCGAGATGTACTGGGTGAAAACTACGACAAAATCAGAGAGTTTTTCCAGACAGAAACAGATGCATTTATTTGCTCAGCAACCATAACATACTTTAGCATGGATGGTATTTCGAGGAGCCTTAAGAGCACTGCTTGCCTGAAGGTCTCAAGGAAGCTGGTGTGACTGAAAAACGACAATGGTTTCATCAACAATTATACTCTATGCTTAAAACATACATCACAGACAGTGTAGAAAGCCTAAAGGACCATGATCAGGAGGAAGAAGAGGTAGTAAGATGCTGTGACCCTGCATGCAACCGTACATTCAAGTATAGAAAGTGCCGTACTAGTCATGAGCAGAACACACACAGCCTGTTTGTCGAAGAAGAAACAATAGACAAAGCCAAGACCAAAAAGCCTGAAGATGGAATCTTTAACTATGGTTGCCTCCATATAAGCCTTGGTCTTTTAACATGCGATGCCGAGGATGCTGTGAAGGAGGGGGATAGAGACAGACTAATTCAGGAAATTCCTCACATTTCTTTACTGCCTAAATGGGGAAAACAAGTATGCTTTTGCAGGCCTTCAAGAAGGACCTGGCACAAGAATATCAAGGGACTTGCACTTGGAGCACCACAACAAGATTGCTAAAGAAGAAATCCGGGCAAAGGGTGTCCAAAACATCAATGATAAAAGTGTTGAAGAAGTCAGAGGGATCAATAAAGAAAATAATAATTGGAACACGCTGTGACCTTGCTATTGAAAAGGGAAAAGGTCATCTTCCAACAAGAATAAGAGCAGGGTTTTCTCAAATATTTTAGGGAAAGTTCATCACAAAAGTAAAACATTCAAGCATACTGTTGGCCGGGAATACAAAGCTTTCCCAAAGTTGCAGAGAAACATTTTTTGTGCCCTTGACAAAAAGTCCACACATCAATGGATCAACAGACATAAACGCCAATGGCACAGACACAACCGATATCTATGTAGACTATAAACAACTATAGCCTGTTGATCAATGATGTTTCTTGATTGGCAAAGCTGTTTTTTGGTGCTCACCTAGGGTAAACATTTTCTGGTGTTTGAGTATCTAGAAATCAAATTACACTCTCAGGTCTTAATCCAGGACTTGGTTGTTCCAGGCATGATTACGATAATCCAGGGGTAGTGAACAATTTGAAAGTAGATTCAAAACCTTACGCAGCATAAGTGTGCTGCTTTCCGTTCACAATTTGAAGATTGTATGCTCTACAAAAATAGTGAACATTAGTGAACCCTAGAAAATAGACAGAAATAACAATTTAACCCCAAGTTAGTGTTGAACAGCCTTTGAACAACTTTCCCCAGATGTCTAATCCTAAATTAATTGTGGCTTAAAACAAGTCAGCCATGATCGTTTTGTTTTACAAAGTTAAATTTAGTAAAATGTCTTTTGCAAACCTGTGCTCAATGTACTTAAACTTTTCAGCCCAAATAGAGACCTCACCCACATTTTTTTATTTCATAAAAAATATGAGAACAACTAATGGAATAAGGGTCAGGAGATGGGGATTTTTCTTGGAACTACCCACATTACCCTTGCAGGGTACTTTCAAAGAAACCAGAAATGAAAGATTACCTGGTTGTTTGGTTCCTTGATTACTAATTTCATACCCAGCAATGTGAAATCTCAGTGTAAGTCTCAAAAAACAGGTATCATCTGTTTAGCCGAGTTATCAACATCAAATTGGAACTATAACAAACGTGGACGGACTAAATGTGGAAAGGGCCAAAAAAAAGTAATGTGGAAAAATTTGCTGCCAGTTTTAGTTTGTATATATCAGGCCCGGATATGTCTAGGACTAAACATGGTTACCTTATTTGCCTTGTTTTATTATAATAATATTATTGTGAGTTGGGCTGCAAAACTTGTAGAATTTAGTCCATATTGGGTCTAGTTGGACTACAAAAAAGATTAATGTTATAATGGAATTTTCAGATGGAGATTCTGCATTATCAGATGTGACAATATGATACCTCTGTGAGTAGAGGACCATTAATCTTCCTTGATCTAAGGGCGTCTGCTCGCAGGGTAAGTGGAAACTCGATGATGAACCTCTGTAAAATGAAGTCCTTGGTATAAAAAAATATTTTCTTTTCCCCAGTAATGGTAAAATAATTATATAAAAAAGAACCTTGCAAGAAAAAATTTGGCCAGTTCCTTGGCCCTTGGAAACAATGGAGGTTCCACTGTACTGATATTCCCAAAGGATGAAAATACCATCAGCACTTTCCTTTTGTATTCATGTCAATTAGCCTTCTTTGTCTTGATTTCACTTGCAAAATGGAACAGAAGGTTGAGCTTGAAAGGCATCAGGGCCAAAATATTTTAAAAATCAAGACAGTATGGATGAAGGTGTATATATGTACTAGTGACAAAACTGTTTACCTGACACAATGCTGCACAACCAGCTGAAGTGTTAAAACGCCCTTTTTTAAAACAATAAATACTATAAAACACATGTTCAAGGCAGTCTTTAAGAGTGTAACAGTAAATCTTACAGTAAATCACACTAATGCATCGTAAATCAGTCACTATGATAGGTATCACCATCGCTACATCCAGATGTTTGTTCCTCAACATCAAGGAAGACATGTCATCAGTAACACTTTGGTCCATACTAGAAAGAAACTCGGCCTCGTCATACTGAAAATAAATATTCGCACTTACTTACAATAGCCTCTACAATCTGCTCACCAAGTTCAAAAACAAGTCCAGCACTACTTAGCACAGAGGAAGCTGATTCTGTTTTAATTTTCATGTCTTTAAGCATTTCATAGAGAAATTCTCTGTCCTCTTCCTAAACGTGCCGAACCACAGTTGCCTTTTCAAGTCTCACTTGCTGGTGTAACATCAGATGACTTTTCAAGAGCATTGCACAAACTGCAATTGGAGGCTGCTAGGCAAACATTACAAGTCATGCTTGACATTTGGCTTGTTAGGTTTCTCCTTAAAATAGTTCAACAGAAGATCCTTCCTGCACTTTTGTCCGTGTCTTTTACATAATTTCTCATATGCTCATCACAATGAGCAAGATGGAATGGCCGGTAATACAGTATTGCCTTGCAAGGCTGTCCATCTCTACCACCACGACCAACTTCTTGTACACAAGTTTCCAAATCAGGTGGAGCACCATAATGAACGATCTGTCGGATATTGGGAATATTCACACCCATCCCAAGAACACTTGTTGCGATAACAATGCGGCAGTCACCATTCTCTTCCAAGAGAGATGAGAGTACTCTTTGCTTAATTTGCTCCGGCGTCTTACTATGATACATGGAGACAACTGGTGCTTCAGAATGGGTAGCTATCTCGTCAAACAATGAGTAGATCTCTCCACAGTCCTTTAATGATCTACAGTAAATAATTGTTTTCGCAATTTCTGCGACTAAGGAAGAAAACAAATCCAAAATCCACTTAAAAGTTTCATCCAATTCTTTTGCCTTTTCAACATGGGAAGAGATATTTTGCTTA